ACAATTCAATTTAGTAGTCCCCCCCCCAATACGAGTTTCTTAGCTAGTCCATTTTGTGGGACCATATCAGAATTTTTCTGAATGTACAAGTACTACAAGTCCACTCTGTTTTGCAAATCTACTTTTATTAAACTCTTTTAGGTTTTTCTCGGTTGAAAAGTAAGACTAAGTGGTCTATACTTTCCAGGTAAGGTATCAAAGGATCTGACAGTTTTAATTGACAACAAAAAGTTAGTTTTGGTGGGACAAACTTATAGGTTCCATCCTTTGTCGCTATTCATCTGTAGTCGTAGTTGTCCGATGAAAAGAGCTTCTTTGAATTCTCTGTCAGTGTACTTGGCAAGGATTTGTACAGGGAATGGTGAGTTAAAGTCAGATGTTACTCGTCAATGATTTGTTAAACAATTATCGGCAGCTGTGCTTCTTTCATGTTGTTGTTTATAAAGAGAGTCAATGTGTTCTTATCCTTGTGTGTGGGGTTCTTCTTGTTTCTGCTACGTGTGTATCATGACAGATGATACGTGTAAGTGAGTAAACTACATTGGAAACAAGATATCCGTCCTTACGCTGCAAACACATTTCTTGTAAGACACTTAGCTTTATTACATTGTAAGATAGTGTACTAAGGTTTTATAATTTGGCTTTTGAGGGTTCTATAGCTTTACTTGACAGTTCTGATTTCCTTATTATAGTTTTTATTTTCTTGGAGGTACCTTAAAAGTAATCTTTTTTATGTGTGTTATCTTTGGAAAATTGTCTTTTTTTTTCCTCTTGATTTATTTGCGTTTTTTTCATGTTGGAGGTGTGTGTGTGAGGCTAATTTTTGCTTTTCGTAATCCCTGAAAATGTGTTCAAAGTAAAAAGGTGGAAATTTGTTGCTCAAAAGGAATTATTTTAGTTCAAAATTTGTACTGTTTTTTTCTTCACTACAGTTCCAATCAGTTCTTTTTAATTCTTGGAAGCTTTTGGATTATGAGAGTTGAAGTTAAGAAAAAAAGTGGTTTTCTAATTGTTTTGTTTGAATGTTATTTTAATTATCTATCCTTGTAACAATTAGAGGGTTTAAGTTCATCTAAAAGCACCTTAGGGAGGTTACTCGTTTTTGTAAATCTACAGATAATCTCTCTAGCTTTGTACTGTCAGTTTTTGTTTGTGTTTTAATGGAATGCTTCTGAAGAAGCTGTAAAATGAAACATTGAATGTCCAATTAAAGAAAATTAATAAATTTGATGTTATAAGTTAGTTTATTACTAGTGTTAAAATGTTTTTATACAGCAGTATGTACTACAGAAATTAAAAATGAGGTTCCTCTTTCTGTTTGTGGTATTTTGATAACACTAATTATCGTTTCTGTTCCATAGAGCGACTTCACCAGTGATGATTTTGCCCATATGAATGCTCCATTGTTATACCAGATGTTCAAGGCTAAAACAGATTATCCTCTTCATATGGCAGTCAGAACTGAGAGAGAGGATGTTGTATTTCTCTATCTAATCGAATATGATTCTCAGGTAATATGGTGTCTCGTGTAATGATATCTTCTTGAACATTCTAAGTAAATAATTATAAAAATCATAAATAATATTCAACGTTAAACTGGCACACAGTTCAAAACATTTTATTTAGGCCTATCTGTGGCCTAAAAAAAAGTTGACGACTCTACATGTTTCGACGTTACAACGTCATCCTCAGGAGTAAGGACGTTGTAACGTCGAAACATGTAGAGTCGTCAATTTTTTTGAAAGCCACAGATAGGCCTAAATAAAATGTTTCTAACTGTGTACCAGTTTAACATTGAATATTATTTATGATTTTAACTTTATACACAAGTGTCAATATACTATAATTAAATAATTATAATTGTGTTAACTGGATATGTACATGGTCAGTCCAGTTGACCGACCTTATACTGGAGAATGAATTTTAACAGTAATACCAAATTAACTACATGTATCTACACAAGATAGTGCATGCTTTGAGTAAAATTCACAAGTCTCTTGTACACAAAAAATCAGATGTGTTACAAAGTATTTGTACACAAGATATGTCTGTGTATAATCAGATGTGTTACCAAGTATTAGTACACAAGATATGTCTGTGTATAATCAGATGTGTTACAAAGTATTAGTACACACAGATATATCTTGTGTACTAATACTTGGTAACACATCTGATTATACATATCTTTTGTACTAATACTTGGTAACACATCTGATTATACATATCTTTTGTACTAATACTTGGTAACACATCTGATTATACATATCTTTTGTACTAATACTTTGTAACACATCTGATTATACACAGACATATCTTGTGTACTAACACTTGGTAACACATCTGATTATACATATCTTACACATCTGATTATACATATCTTTTGTACTAATACTTTGTTACACATCTGATTATACACAGACATATCTTGTGTACTAATACTTGGTAACACATCTGATTATACACAGACATATCTTGTGTACTAATACTTTGTAACACATCTGATTATAAATGGACAGTAAATACCAGATGTGATAGATATGGATATTGAAAAGACTCTAGATATTTATTTAGGAGGTTTTAGAGGTTATACGAAAGCAATATAGATATTGTACGATGGACAAAGGTACTTTTATTCTTCACGTGAACAACACACTGACATCATCAATACATAGACATATCTTGTGTACTAATACTTGGTAACACATCTGATTATACACAGACATATCTTGTGTACTAATACTTTATAACACATCTGATTATACACAGACATATCTTGTGTACTAATACTTGGTAACATCTGATTATACACAGACATATCTTGTGTACTAATACTTTGTAACACATCTGATTATACACAGACATAACTTTTGTACTAATACTTGGTCTTACTTTGTTCATGTAATTATGATCAGCTACAATTATTTGTTACAGTACGTTTATATCATAAACACGTTTAACACTTACTTTGTTCATGTAATTATGATAAGCTAGAATTATTTGTTACAGTAAGTTTATATCATAAACACATTTAACATTTACTTTGCACATGTAATTATGATCAGCTAGAATTATTTGTTACAGTAAGTTTATATCATAAACACGTTTAACATTTACTTTGCACGTGTAATTATGATCAGCTAGAATTATTTGTTACAGTACGTTTATATCATAAACACGTTTAACATTATCTTTGCACATGTAATTATGATCAGCTAGAATTATTTGTTACAGTAAGTTTATATCATAAACACGTTTAACATTTACTTTGCACATGTAATTATGATCAGCTAGAATTATTTGTTACAGTAAGTTTATATCATAAACACGTTTAACATTTACTTTGCACATGTAATCATCATCAGCTAGAATTATTTGTTACAGTATATTTATATTATAAACACGTTTAACATTCAAAATAGAATTCTATACAAACTTTGGGAATGAAGTTCAAGTTGAGCAAAATATACTCATATTAATCTTTAATTATGTCAGTGATAAAGGTTTCTTTTTCTTTTCACCATCTGCTTCATATTTTACAAAATACTTCAAAGATATGCAACTATAGATATTAAACCTATTTGCATGGGTGGGTGTCAAAGGTCACATTCCATGACCTTTTACAGAATGCCATTAAACATGGTATTATGTATTTCATCAAGTATCCATTTCTGCTCTACATTGCTGATTTAATGACAGTTTGGGGTTGTTAAACGTGTTTATGATATAAACGTACCGTAACAAATAATTGTAGCTGATCATAATTACATGTACAAAGTAAATGTTAAACGTGTTTATGATATAAACGTACCGTAACAAATAATTGTAGCTGATCATAATTACATGTGCAAAGTAAGTGTTAAACGTGTTTATGATATAAACGTACCGTAACAAATAATTGTAGCTGATCATAATTACATGTACAAAGTAAATGTTAAATCATGAGTTTTTCCAAGTTCTATGAATTTTAGTTATGCTAAAAAGTAATAATAGTAGTCTATGAACAAATAAAAAGAAAAGACTTTTACAAAAGGATTGATTGTTCTTGTGACATCTTAACAGGGAAGAATATTTTTTTAAATTTTAAAAGCAGATTTTAAACAACTTGTCTGTTGTGTATTTCCAGAAAATAGTTGAAAATTTTGTCTCTATTGCTGAATATTAAAATACTATCATTATGACATCTAATATTCTTCTAGTTACCTGGAAAACTGAATGAAATTGACTTGCAAGGTGATTTGCCGTTAGATCTTGCTCTAAAGACCCAACAGGAGAGTATCAGCAAAACACTTGTTAGTCATCGAGCTAGCGTGAATGCCACTGATAGCCATGGAGAGACTTTACTTCACAAAGCAGTAAAAAGAGGTAAACTAGTACATTCATAGCTAGTTAAAAACTTTTAATTGTGGCTCTGCACTCAACAGAGTGCACAAGAAATGAATCGTTCTCCTAGTGCTAAGTAGTACATAGATCTCTCTAAAGAATCTTTATTCAAGAATTCTTATTAGTTTTGTTTTTTAAATGTAGTCTAGAAGGTCTATTTTATTAAACATTGGTTAGAATAAATACTTTCATTGAGTAGCTCACTAATATAAAAATTCACATTAAAGATTTAATCTTTGTTTCTTCAAATGTTGGATTAAGTCTCTTGTTACTTTACGTCTTTAAAACCTGACAGGATTCTCAGATAATTGTTTTTTGGACCATCTCCTGGTGAAGAAAGAAGCCTTTACTATTTACAGATTAATGTAACGCAGTATGAATATTGATTTTCAACCAATTACTGTGTGTTTTCTCGTGTTGTAGAAAAATTTGACCACCTGTATAATCTTATGATGTATCCACCTTTCTATGTATACATGAACACATAGGCTTAACAGATGTAACCAGCTCTGTTACAGTAATACTTGAATGATTGTGTTTCTTCTGTCAACTGCAACAACTTTTTTATGTTCATTTCACCACCAGGGGATGAATTTGCAGCAAACTTTCTGATAGAACATAAAGCATCGGTTAACAGTACGACTCCAATAGAAAAGGAAACTCCTCTTCATCTAGTGTCGAGCTTTGGTTTGGAGGATGCCAACAAGGATATTGTAGAAGGAATGACAAGAGTAGCTGAAAAATTAGTGAAAAATGGAGCCAACCCTAACCTTCAGGACAGTAATGGAAAGTAAGTATGAGGAACTGATCGAGAGTTGAGATTATTTTATTATAAAGGCCTGTTACAGCATTGTTTTCCAGATACGTGATGGTCACATTTTTCATTTTTGTTATGGTCTTGTTTTTATTTTTTCAGTTTTGTAAAGTAACTTTTGTGACGAGTGAATGATTTGTTTTGTTGATTAAAAACCCTTCTTTTACTCTCAACTCAAAGATATGTATGATCAGAGTTTATCAACATTAGCAATCAAAAGAAAATACGATTGTCTCCAACTGCTGGCGACCTTAAGGGAAAAGATGATTGGACGGGCTTGCATAGTGCAACGGACCATCATATGGTTCCCTAATCAACAATACTTGTTGTGTTATAAATCGCCTCTACTCTGCAAAGGAAAAGGCTAAGAAAATTTCACATGATGATCAACAATCAGTTATCTCGTATGCAATCAGAAAACTGTGGCTTTAATGGTGATTACAATGAAAAGATAAACAATGAGTGATTGAGAGTAAACTATATGGCCTGATAAGTTATTTTTAACCCTTTTTTTGTATTAACAGTGAAGTAATACTGTATAGAAAACCACATGAGACATTTAACCAACAGTGTAACATCACTGGTAGACCCGGCATGGCCAGGTGGTTAGGGCACTCGACTTGTAATCTGCGGGTTTGAATCCCTGTCCCAGGTTTGGTGTTTTAATTATGAAAGTTTGTTGTTTTAATGATATGTACACAATACTTTGCTTGTATAATATGAAGTTTTCAGTCTACCTTGTATTCTGTTGTTTCTTTACATTTTCACAATTGGTTAAGAGCTGGTTTTTTCCTTAGCTTAAAGGTAAGAGGATCGAGCATAAAATGTTGGAATTTTCCCAAAGAATGAGGTCAACGTAGAAGAAACTCTATTTGATAATACCGTAATGCTAAAACCTACAACACCAGTAGTATTACCAACTACTGTCTAAACGAATGTAATACTAGTCCTACCTCTAGTTTCTTTTGCATCATCCTTGTTCAAACATAGAAAAAAAAAAACCCTCTTAACAAGAAGATGAACACACTAACACAACATATTTATTTGTGAAAACGTAAACAAACGGATGCGAACTTTAATCGTTATAGGATATTGCTTGAGGTTACTACTTCTGCGAGAGATATGCTTTTAAAAAAAATTCTTTCATCCCAGATATAATATTATACTTTTATTACATAAGGTTGCTTTTGGTGCACCAGAAGTTACATGCTTTGTTATTCACTGTCTTATAGCACTGCTTTACATAGAGCAGTAGCAGCTAAAAACACCCCAGTATTTTCGTTATTACTGGCATCTGAAAATTTAGACCTGGAGCTAAGAAACGTAAATGGAGAAACTGTTCTCTGGTATGCTCTTCAGTTTGGAAGCTATGACGATGACAGCTTTGCTGCTCGTTTGGTGAAGCGAGGAGCCTGCGTTGATGCTATCAATCCGTCTAATGGTAAGAAATCGTGTCAGATTTGCTAGTAATGTTAGAAAAGTTCTGACTTGACAGCGGTGATTGGTGTGGTTTGTTGGAAGGTAACATAATAACTAGTGACCGTAGTCTAAATAGTAATAATCAAAGTACCTAAACTTTAAATCACAGGATATACAATAATAATAATTGAAAACGGTAACTAGAGGTTTGGTCAATGATGTATGACTTATCGTGAGTTTTATCACACTTTTTTTTTAATGAATATTGTACTCCATTAATAATATCATTGAAGTATGTAGAAACTGTTTGTTGAGGTGGTCCGTCACTTTACGAAGCACAGTTTTAAAAGTGATGATTCAAAAAAGATACATCAAAAGAAAAAAGTAATAATTTTTAATGGGGGGGGGCATTTGAGGCTATAACTTTTAACCAAAGACTGGATATAATAGTGACGATGATAGAGTAGATTTGACCTTATTATTAACTTATGTTTATATTGGGAAATGTTGATTGTTACTCCTAGTGTAATACAATCGTTTGTTAAGACTGATTTAATTTATAGCGGAGTTACAAAACAGTTTTACTGAAACTATAAAACTTTGATTGAATAATTAGATGCTGTTACTATTCTTAGTCGCAAGAGGAAAGCAATGTGTAACCTCCCAGAAATGTTCCTCTAATTGTATTGAGTAATAGATTAATTTATTTGTACTTGCCGGAAATTAAACATTACTATAGAAATCACCTTACAGTGTATCACATTGTCAGTGCTTAATATCAGTAGTTTCCAATAGGTATGGGTTGTTTTGCTTGAACTTTCTATTTACTGTCGGTGTGCTGTAACTTCTAGTTACTCTTCGTTTATTATTAGGTGATAGTTTACTCCATCTGGCAGCAAGAGCTAGAAATGAACCAGCGGGAGTATTTCTGGCAACTCATGGTGCAATACCTAACTTGACCAACAATAAAGTAAGTATTAAACGAATGGGGGGCGATGTTTTAATTATCTTGTAAGTTTATGTAGGTATACATATTCATTAAAAAAGTATTAGGAGACGATGTATTCAGCTAGTAATTGTCACAAATTTGTACAAAAATCCCATGGTGCAGAGAACTCGTAAACATCAACAATTGCCATAACGAACCATTTGGAGTCGAAACACCACAAGGAAAGGTACTGTAAAGTAAGCAATGGCAACTTTGTATCTCGGTTATTCTAAAATTATTGATACCGAAATTTCAAATAACTTTATAGTATTGAATAATATATGTGTCTGTGTGTGTATATACATATATATTCACTGAAACTCGTTACTCTGTAAAAAAAAACATGCTTTCTAAAAAGTACCTAAATATTTGCGAAAGACACACAATCTGAATGCTTTTGGAAGGTAAATAAACATGATAACATGAATGCTTTTGGAAGGCAGATAAACATGAATGCTTTTATAAGGTACACACTAATTGGAAAATGTGACTTTCCTGAGAACTGGTAGTTTCAGAAGTTGTCTCTCATGTAATAATTCTTTTTTTTTTTAATGTGTGGAATACATTTTTATTATAACATTGGGGAAGTAAAGATTTTACCTGTTATAAAATTTGGTTTTGATACCTGTGGTGGGTAGAGCACAGGTAATCCATTGTATAATTTTGTGCTTAATGACAAACAAATACTAGAGAAAGTAAATCAAGGATTTTTTTTTTTCATTCTATTCCCAAAGGGAGAAAGTCCCCTCCATGTAGCCTGTGAGAATGGGTTATCACACTTATCTACTGTGTTGCTGCAGCAAGGAGCTAACCCTAATCTCCAGACAACCGATCGTAATTCTGTCGAAGTGTTTACTGCTGAAAATGATGAAAACTTTGCTTTTCAACAAACTCCTTTGCACTTAGCAATAAGGAATGGTCATGAGGAAACTATCAATGCAATTATAGAACACAAAGGTGTGGCAAAACTGAAAAAAATATCCATGAATGTATAGAATATTTTAATATTGTTTTTAATTTTTAGTTATTTTGAATTGTAACTAATTTTTTATATATTAAAGATTAAAGAAGAACCCTTAAATAAGATTTTAACATCTCTTTTTAGCAATACCAATTATATATATATATATATATGTGTGTGTGGGTGTGTGTGTAAATAATACGTGTTTCTCTGTGTATTTATAGTCTATACACACCATTCCACTGATTCATCAATCATAGTCCCTAACTTCAATCTTAAAAACTCTCGTGACCAGTCTCCACTGAGCTTAGCCCTTGACTTGGGGCTTCACGGAATTTCCCACAAGCTTTTAAGTTGTGGTGCTAATATCAATGTCACCAACTCTGAAGGACTAAGTCTCTTGCATCAGGCAATACAAGACCAGGATGTTAAGAGTGCATTATTCCTGTTGGAGAACGGAGCGGATATTTCTCTTTTGTAAGTTATTATTGCTCTTAATTACTTTAGTATGTACAGTTTAATGTTTACTCTTGATGTAGCTCACTTATCGGCCCGGCATGCCCAGGTGGTTAGGGCATTCGACTCGCAATCTGTGGATCATGGGTTCGAATCCCCATCACACCAAACATGCTCACCCTTTCAGCCGTGGGGGCGTTATAATGTGACGGTCAATCCCACTATTCGTTGGTAAAGAGTAGCCCAAGAGTTGGCGGTGGGTGATGATGACTAGCTGCCTTCCCTCTAGTCTTACACTGCTAAATTAGGGACGGCTAGCGCAGATAGCCCTCGTTTAGCTTTGCGCAAAATTCATTACAAACAAACAAGCTCACTTACCATTATATTTCCAATTTGACAGATGTTAAGGAACTTTGTGTTTACATTTAAAGAAAATCTAGTATTGTTTGTGTGATGATTTTTGGAACCTTCGTTGTTATTAATTTTAATAGCAATGTTTATTTACCCAGGTATTTTTCTTATTTTGATTTCAACTGAGCCTGGTGAAAAACTTAAAATGTTTTTTGTCGATCAGCCCATCAAGTTCATGATTCTGTAGATGTAATTTTTGCATGTTCCTGCTCAGACAGTAACTTTTTTTACACGTGTATTAGATTCAACATCTTGTAAACATATAATCGGGGTAATTAGCAGAGATTTCAAGAGTTGAGGAATATGTGTACCCTTTATTTTTCAAGTGCATCTTTCAAAATCATGGCTCAATCAAAAGTCATAAATATTAGGTATTATCGGCTTTATTGTCATCACTACTTTTGTATTCTTTTGTTGCAGAGGCCGATCTTTAATACCAGACCAAAAACAAAAATTAATGAAGTTCGTATAATTATTATTATTATTATTAGTGCTCATACAATATAGCAAACTGCTAAGATTCAATAATTTTTTCATGTTGATGTTCTAAATCTAAAATACATTTGTTTTTCTAATTTTTGTTCAATAATTTCTCCATTTCTCTCAGTTGACTTAATTTTTATAAGTTAGTGTTTCTGTTCTTTTTTGTTATGAATACATTAATAAACTGACAGTAAAAATTACTGTTTAAGAGGATATTAGCTTTTATACTGTTAACAGTATAAAACTATATGTTTATAAAATGAAATCTTTCCAAAAAAAAATAGTAAAATGCTCACTGTATATATTTTTTTTCACAAGCCTCTTTGGCTATTCAAGAATATGACTTTCAGTCTTTCTGATATGTTGAATGTATGTAAATCTTTTTATTTCACTTGTTAAGTATGAATAAATATAAAAAAGCACACTTTTTATTACGTTAATATTTGCAATGCCATTGATAAATATCCTTAAATAGAGATGTTAATCGTGTGAGTCCTTCAAGCAAAAGTTTCTGTATTAACAATTATGATACAATATATTTGACTTTTCGGATTAATTTATATCCAGCTTCAAAGGTAATTTTAAGATGACTATTTAAATTGTTACATGACCTGGTTTAGTTCTACTGTTAAGTACGAGTTGCTTTAATTTTTTCATTAGGACCAAAGACAATGATACACCTCTGCAGCTGGCCATAAAGCGCCACCTTCCTGCTGTAGTTGAAGCCCTCTGTTTACGAGGAGCTGACATGAATGTATTAGATGAAAACAAAAACTACCCTCTGTGGGTCGCATTAGAAAGTGGGCAAGAAGACATATCATCAATCTTGGTAAAAGTGAATTCTATAACAAATCTGTTGAATAAACTTTTATGGTCTATATTTCTTAATTCATTTTTTGTGTGCAAATCTAGATTGCAGTTACATTTAATTCCTGAAGAATTCATATTAATATTGGTATTTCATTGAATTTTGAGAAGATGGTGTTAATGTTTAAAGATTCTCTTGAAGTAATAAGTTGTGTTACTGAAGTTGATATCTTTCAAAATATTCTCGAATGTGGTGATGTAGTTGTTGTTTTCACGTCTTCAAATGAAAGGAATCTTCAAGATAAAACATTGAACTAGCTCTTTTCTTTGAGTCATGCTAGTCTTTTTGGTATGTAAACAAGCTTTATTTCCATAGGAAGTTGGTCGATACAACCCACCTCGTAACCTTGAAATTGTACATATTATAATTCTGAATGTACTAAGTGTATCTTCACAAAATATGGCAAGATTTCAGTAAATATATCTAGTCTGTACTACACAAAAAATTTGATTTTGTAATAGAATATTTTTACTAAAGATATGTTTGTGAATTTATGATGCCTTTACTGTATTGGTCTAAATGAAAGGTTGTTTTCACTTTACAATCTTCATATTTCATTTGCATAATCTCTAAAACCTCTGAAATTAATATCAAAACTTTTTCTTCCACAAAACCTATCTTTTATTTCTTATTTTCTCTAACTGTAACAAAATCATAATGAAAGGAAAAGTTGAAAAATATGAACTAAGATTAATAGTTCCTTTTATTTAATGCATCATCTATCACAAGATCGTCACTAACCCTCACATTGTCAACTGTTAACCTTTTCACATCCATTTACTTTTAACTTTATGATATTTTCTGTACCTTAGACCACAGCATTCGGTTCAAAGGAATGAATCACACCAAGAGCCCACTAACTGTTTCCGTTAGACAATGTAAACAACACGTGGTTTTTGCATTCACATTTTAACTTAGGCTTAGGTTGAAGTTCTGTTAGCTGCTTGGAGTTGAACAACGGCAAGAACAAAAGATATAAGGCTGAGAAGAAACAGTTGTAGCTTTATGTAGAGGAGAACATGATCTTTCTATTGGTTATAAAAATGTCCACCAGATAAGTACATATGTTTGGACAATTCCCTTGAAAGCTATGGGAAGGGTTTCTTGGTGGATTTGACAAATTTGCTCAGCAACTCAAGAAAGCAGGGGGTTCACATTTTTAATTTTTTTTTGTAATTGTGTACGGTGTGTGATTCTAATTGATATCATACACTGAAAACCCTAGTAGGGAAGATGTAACATCTATAGGGGGATTACAGAATGTAGACTCGTCACATTACACAGAGAAGTGAAGATTGAGAATTGTTTTTAAGTAAGAAATTAGAACTTGGATATTTTGATACCAAGATTCTTGATGTACATTGATAATAAAGTTGATTAATTAAAATTTAAAACGTACATTTTTACCAAGCTGAACAGAGTTAACCTGCAACTTATAGTGTATGTGCTTATTTTCTCCACCGAAGACTTTTTTTTTTCAGTCCAGAACTTTGTTGTCTATTAAAGTTGGTTATTTTTCTGGTGACTCATACAGGGAATCCAATACAAAAAAACTTCATTCAGGGATTGCTACACAAAAAATGTAGGTCTAAACCCAGATTTGGGCAACAACTGAATACCACACTTGAACGATTGAGTAAAAACCTAATATTAGGAATTTTTTGGGCAGATTCTAATATAAAGAAAAAAATAAGTTGTGCTCTTTATCATTTTAGTTGAAAGCTTTATATGAATTGCAATCGAAGTACTTAAGCATCACCTGGTAGTTTATGATTTCAGTAAAAACTTGTTTGTGCTTTTGAATAGGAGTAGAACTAAGTTTCAGTTTTTGAGAAAAACCTGGTAAAAGTTGATTGGTCTAGAAATTACAGAGTTACAGTATATCCTGCTGTTGTTAAGAAGTTTCTAGTAGCATCGTGTTTGCTGATTGGCCTAGAAATTACAGAGTTACAGTATATCCTGCTGTTGTTAAGAGGTTTCTAGTAGCATCGTGTTTGCTGATTGGCCTAGAAATTACAGAGTTACAGTATATCCTGCTGTTGTTAAGAGGTTTCTAGTAACATCGTGTTTTTATTTGGTTTGACCATTTCTCCATCAGAAAACACTCTAACTTAGCGGTAGATTTTGCTGTGTTATGATGTATAAGATGTTATGGCATCAATAAATTACCTAAATTATGTTAAAAACATAGAAAAATACAACAATGAGCTAATATATTTGTGTCATCTTCTTGACACGGGTGTCCCGTGTCATCTTCTTGGCTGGTGTCCGAACAAAGAGATTATTTATACTTGTGTTTCTTGCTCAAGCTCCCAGATGTCAGCACACCTGGTGTCTAGTGGTTGATTCAAGC